GTGCTTACTGCATGAGTATGGCATCAACTTACAATCTTAAGATGCGCCCACCAGAGTATTGGGTATATTGTCTTAACCTGTTATTAAATTGATGTTTTGCTCCTAGTATTTTTTTCTGGTGTTCCTTACGCCCCACTAATCTACCCTCAAACCTTGTCATGATGGAAAAAGACTTGGTGTTCTTGTCAACATCTTGTACCCGAAGTGAAGAGTACATGGTTACATTAACAATTAACTTGGTCCTAAATCTTAAGCTGGTATTTTGTTGTGAAGAATTGAGAGTCAAGCTTCCATATGACTAGTATCTATTGACAAGATCAATAACTCACAAGCCCTTTTGCTTTTTCAAAGACTGCAAAAAAGAAAAGTCCTTTTAAATGCTAACTTGGTGCTTGGCTGGATTTTGTTAATGATACTACTGCTACTCACAAGATAAGAGAGTTGAATGCAACTTTTTGCTTATATCATTCTGAAAATTTTGTCGTTGGAAGCACTATCCGCGGTTTTCTTAGTTGCTGCTTAACGTTATCAAAGTGATCACAACAATAGTATACTATGAATCTGATAGTCATAGCAACATCTCTTCTCGTATGACATGTAAACTTCACATCCAAGACATGCATTTGATCATCTTCACTATTGTAATATTGATACAAAATTTTGAAAAGGATTGTGCATACTGTTGTTTGTAGGTGGAAGAAGATGGATCACTGTCCAAAATCCGTCATGGGGAGACATTCGAAGACCATTTAAGATTCTTTGATGGTCTGTAAAATTATGGTTTCTTTTAAGCACTTAAACATGACAGGATGTGAAACTCAGAAATTCCTCTGGTAGTTTGGTTCCTGTCAATGTTGACAATTCTGTATTTGGATTGTTCCAATTAATGGATTTTCCCTATGACTTTCCACCTTCTTTTTTTCGGTTTTCTACCTGGCGTCTAGGACCTGCATTCGAGTTCAATTAAATCTGAATTCGCACATTCCAAATAGAAGTGATATTTTTTTTTAAAAAAAAGGTTGGGCAAAAACTAGCATCATTTGCTATGAAGAATATGGTAAAGACCCTAAAAGTGCTTAGTCTAGACACTATTTTACTTTATTTACTAAAATAATTATACATATGTACCTGGCGAGCGAGATTGGGAGAGGGAGGAGAGAGGCAAGCGAGACAGAACAATAATTTGTATAATTCGCATTTCGTTTGTATAATTCGCGTGTTTTTGTATAATTAAGTAATATAAAGTTTGGAATTATACAAATATGATAAAACTCGAAATAATGAATTGATATAAACATAAACATATAAACTTTAAACAATTATACAAATTACATTATATAAATTATATTATACAAAATTTGAAAACTACATGTTTATACAAACTTTAAAAAGTTATACACAAAAAGATTGAGTGTATATGATGATAAAACTAAAAAGGGAAAATTGTGAGTATATAATAACAAACTATTAATTAAAATTAAATGTTATAACCACAATGTCATTTAATTCTAATCCGTAGCAAACACTTTGCCATTCGCCTCTCTCCCCAAATTTCTCGCTCGCCACTCTCTCTCTCGCCTCTCTCACTTTATACAAACACAAATGTATAAATTATGTTTGTGTTTGTGTAAAGCGAGAAAGCGTTGTATATACAAATACATATCTTTTCGTTCGCCTCTTTCCCTTGATATCTCGCTCGCTACTCTCTCTCTCGCATCTCTCACTTTATACAAGCACAAATATATAAATTGTGTTTGTGTTTGTATAAAGCGAAAGTAAACTGTATATACAAATACAAATACATATATTTTCGTCCTATACACTTATAATTATATAATACAAATCTCTCCCTGCCCAGATCTCTTTTGCCTTTGTCTCTTTCTCGCTTTATACAAACACAGATTATACAAAAAAAATTCTTTCTTATTTGTATACAGATTCCAAATACATACTTATACAATTGATTCTTTTGTATAAGTACACCGAAATATACATATAATAGCCATAAAGTTTGCTATGAAACGCAATTATACAAACTATAGCTATAACATACAAATATGATTTTTATATTTGCTAAACCTAAAATTTTTCCAACTTAAAAATCAAAGGAAATCATCGTCATATAACAAAATACAAAATCAAATGAAGAATTGTTAGTTGCGAATTATATAAATGTGGCGAATTATACAAAAGTAACTAATTATACAAACGAAGTCAGCTCACGTAATTAATGGTTAATGTTAGTCGCGAGTGGTAATTATATCAAACTATAGCTATAATGAGTAATTAAATAGTATAAGTTTGCTTAACCGCGTAATTTTTTCCCTTCTCTTTTTATTAATTATGTAGATGAGGATCTTTTTAAAAATTATTAAATTTATCCTTTTTTTTCTTTTACAATTATAATAAAAAGATAATTAACTAATTTCATTGTAAAATAAAAATTGGAGTTTCAACGCAACATAAATATATTAATAACAATTGTGACAAATTGTTTGATCGATTAATTATAGCAATTCATGGGATGTATTAATTTTGACTGATTAATTAAAGTATTTCTATTGCGATAAGGCGTAATTGATCGATTAATTAAGGCAATTCCTGGAACGTTGACTGATTAATTAAAGTATCTCTATTGCGATAAGACGTAATTAATTGTTCGATTAATTAAAACAATTCATGGGACGCAACTAACTTTGACTGATTATTGAAGTATTTCTATTGCAATAAGGCGTAATTAGTTTATCGATTAATTAAAGCAATTCTATTGCAATGGGTCATAATTAGCTTTGACTGATAAATTAAAGTTTTTTAATGCGATAAGACGTAATTGATCGGTTGATTAAAGTAATTCTATGTGATTGGGTGTAACTAACTTTGACTGATTAATTACAGTGATTCTATTATGTCGAGTCAATTTATATCACATAAATTGGATAGAATTAATCAGTTACACCCAATCACATAGAATTACTTTAATCAACCAATCAATTAATTACGTCTTATCGCAATAAAAAAAAATTAATTCATCAGTCAAAGCTAGTTATGACCCATTGCAATATAATTGCTTTAATTAATCAATCAATTAATTACGCCTTATTGCAATAGAAATATTTCAATAATCACTCAAAGTTAGTTGCGTCCCGTGAATTGCTTTAATTAATCGAACAGTTAATTACTTCTTATCGCAATAGTGATACTTTAATTAATCAGTCAAAGTTAGTGAAATTTCAACTTTAATTAATCGATCAATTAATTACGCCTTATCGCTATAGAAATACTTTAATTAATGAGTCAAAATTAGTTACGTCCCATGAATTGCTATAATTAATCGATCAAACAATTCTTCTCAACTGTTATTAATATATTTATGTTGTGTGCCACATCAGCACTTAAGGGTGTTAATATCTCTGTTTAAAATACTTCAAGGGGATAATAGGACTTCCGTAAAGTATTGGTGTGTAGTTGAGAATTACGTAATAGGTTGAGGGGATATTTGACTGTTTTCTCTCTTTTTTATTATAATTGTAAAAGAAAAAAGAAGAAAATTTTTATTTTACAATGAAATTAGTTAATTATCTTTTTTATTATAATTGTAAAAGAAAAAAGAAGAAGATAAATTTAATAATTTTAAAAAGATCCTCATTTACATATACATAATTAATAAAAAGAGAAACCCAACTACAAAAAAGTGAAGATTATTACTAGGACTTCTTTTTCCCAAGATTATGCACTACGAGTCAAATAAAAATAATAATCAATATTGGCTGTTTAAATTAAAATTAAAAAATATTATATATTTTAGGAACAATTTTACAAAAAAGTGAAGATTATTACTAGGACTTCTTTTTCACAAGATTATGCACTACGAGTCAAATAAAAATAAGAATAATAATCAATATTGGGTGTTTAAATTAAAAAAACAATTTATTAGAAAGTGAGATGTTTAATTAAAGGGAAAAAAAATATCATCAGAAATTCACGGAAAAAATGGCATGGCGCTGCTCCGCGTCAAGAGTGGTTTTGGATTTTTCTTGAAGTTTTCGCTCCATAGTCCTCACTTGTTTCTTCCCATTTATAGTCCAGTCCAGTCCAGTCCAGTCCCCCTCTCTACTCTTTCACTGCTCACAATATTCAAAACCGCCTCTTGTTTTCATTTTCCTTCTCTCACAGTTTACAACCCTAATCTCTGATCTACCTCTTCAAAATTTCATTCATCTCAGGTTTTGTTTTCCGATCGGTAATTTTCACCCTACTGACTGATGCATTTTAGTTTTGATTGATTTCTTACTGCATTTTTTCTAGCGATGTGTTTCTGTAAGATGTATTGTTTTCTTTAATAGTAAAAAAAAGCTTTGTTAGAATTCTCTATTTTTTTAAAAAATTGAGAATTTTTAAAAAATAGAGAATTGATTTTATGATGCATTTAGCTTTGACTGATTTCATTGATAAAAGTAGTTGTTCATATCATGTGAGTTCTGACGATTACTAATTTTCTGCATTTTGTTTTAAGCTTTTCTAGAGATGTGTTTCTCTCAGATGTTTTGTTTATCAGTTAAAAAAAAAAGAAGCTTTGTTAGAATTCTCCAGTTTTTTAAATTGAGGATTGATTTTATGATGCATTTTAGTTTTGACTGATTTCATCTATAAAAATAGTGCTAGTTCGTATCATGTGAGTTCTGGTCATTACTAATTTCTTGCTGCGTTTTCCTTTTAAGTTGTTTTTTTTTATCTCAAATGTGTTGTTTCCTTAATCTGTAAAAAGAAAAAGCTTTGTTAGAATTCTTCGTTTTTTTAATTGAGGATTGACTTTATGATGAATTTTAGTTTGTATTGTTTACATCTATAAAAATGGTCATGTCCTGTTAGTTCTGTTGATTCTTAAATTCTTGTTACATTGTCATTATACGCTTGTCGTGACGTGTTCTGTTAATTCTTAAAGTCTTGTTACATTCCCGTTACACGCTTGTCGTTACGTGTTCTGTTTATTCTTAAAGTCTTGATACATTCCTGTTACACGCTTGTCGTGACGTGTTCTGTTGATTCTTAAATTTAGTCGTAGTCAAGTACAGTAAAAAAAAATAGTCAAATGAGAATTGATTAGCTGATAACATTTTAAGTTGTGTTAATTTCATCTGTGGAGAGTAGTTCGTGTTGTGTGAGTCCTGTTGCCTCTTAAATTTTCGCGGGATTTTCTTTACAGACCTCCTGGGACATGTTCTTCGTTAATTTGCTCAAATTGAATTTGAATTTTCTCTAGCTCAACTGAGCTATAAATACATAAATTGCCCCCTAAACTTATCCCGAAAACTGTTATACACTATAACTTTACGAGCATCCTTTTACCCCCCTAATCTTTTTTGGACTGGAACTAATACCCCTTACGAAGAGAATCCTGGACATATTTTGTCAAGTGTTATACACGCGCCTAATGTGTATAACACCACTTATCCACAAATTACTTTGCCATAGGAAGTTCGCATTTCCTGTCATAGAGAGTTTGGTGTTTCCTTTACGAGCATATTATCTTCAATGCTCTTTGTTTTTTCCATTTCTAGTTGCTTCTTCCTCTTTTCAATCTATGTCAGAGCTTTGTCGAGAGCAATTATACAATGAAGATTGATATGGTAAAAAGCTGAGATGAAATTTTGGTGTTGAAACAAAATAAATTTGAGTTCCTTAAATGGTTTTTGTACACTGAGAGTAAATTTTTATCAAATTTGCTCAATTAGTTTATCTATGGTAATTCCTGACTAATAAGTGAGATCAAATAGCAGTGGTTTTTGCATTAATATTTGATAGTTTATCTTAACCCATTATATTTGGCTGCCAAATAAGCCAGGTGAGTGGCTTGTGCTGTTTATTGCCTGCTTGGAATGAGTGGCTGGAGCCGTTTATTGCCTGCTTGGAATAAGTGGCGACTAGATAGTAGTACCTGAACTCTTGCATGATAAATTTCTAACCTTTTCCTATGTTTATTGGTAATATTACATAATTAGATATGCAGTTGCTCTATATTGTTAAAATAGGTCGCATTTGGTTATATATCCCTGTTCTAAGTTATTATTTTTCCTATACAGCAATAGTAAACTTGAAATTTGTTTGTCTAAACTTTTGAACTCATTGATTGAACGTGTTTGCATCTCCTTGTAGACTATTTACTTGCATTTTGAGAACACATCATTGATAAATTTGGTGCCTATTGTGTATTTCAGGTTTTATTGCGTTTTGGCAAAAACCGGTCGGTCGATCTTAGGTGCAGATCAGTATTATTCAGTTCAATCCAGGTCTCTTACTCAGTTATGGCCAGTGAAACAAAGACCGGCGTTTCCAATGGTAACGGCAATGCTCATTTTACACCACAACGGACTTACCAGGTTGTGGTTGCTGCAACTCAAAATATGGGTATTGGTAAGGAGGGGAAGTTACCTTGGAGACTGCCTACAGATCTCAAGTTCTTCAAGGGTATCACTGGGACGACAACGGATCCTACAAAAAGGAATGCTGTTGTTATGGGAAGAAAGACTTGGGAAAGTATTCCTATTGAACATCGCCCTCTTCCTGGACGCCTCAATGTTGTTCTCACACGTTCAGGAAGTTTTGACATTGCTACAGCAGAAAATGTTGTCATATGTGGAAGTTTAGGCTCTGCTTTGCAACTATTGGCAGCCTCGCCTTATTGTCTCTCTATTGAGAATGTGTTTGTTATAGGAGGTGGCGAGATTTTCAGGTCAGCTTTCTTGCTGCTTCCTTTTTTGGCTAACCTTCAATGCAAATTTTTCAACATATTCTTCTTCTTGATGCAGAGATTCCCTGAATGCTGATGGATGCGATGCAGTCCATATCACTGAAATTGAGACTGATATAGCATGTGATACTTTTACTCCTGCTATCGACACCTCGGTATTTCGACCCTGGTACTCATCATTTCCTGTGATCGAGAACAAGATTCGCTATTCTTTTACCACCTATGTTCGTGTGAAGAATTCCGGAGTAGAAACTGTTAATCAGTCAAATAGTGAAATTCCTGAGAATGGTTCAGATTCTTCTAATATTGAGGTTAAATCGTTTTCCTTCTTGCCTAAAATGGTATTTGAGAAACATGAAGAATTCATGTATCTGAGACTGGTTGAAGAGATCATCTCGAATGGCATGCTAAAGGATGACAGGACAGGCACTGGTACTTTGTCGAAATTTGGTTGCCAGGTAATGAGAAGTATATAAAATTCAGTTGTCTTTCTCAACAAAGATAAAGTTCAGCTCTGTATGTTTTTTTCTCTCTTCCTTTATTTTGGGTGTGTTTGAAGAAGTCAGTACATCAAATATGTTTAATAGGGAGAAGGGAGTACTGCAAGTAAAATTTTGGTTGGAGAAGGGTTCACATTTGATCATAATGCGAATAGGAAAAAGGGGAAGGAAAGGTGAAGCTTTGCATGTAACCTTATGCGGATGAATATCAAACAAAGTCTTCTCTATTTGCCTTCCCTGTTTATATGTACGGGTAATTTAATGCCTGTTTGGTGTATCTGTGATAATGTTGTGATGTCTTACTATTGCTGCAGATGAGATACAATTTACGCAGATCATTTCCCCTTCTTACAACAAAGGTATTGTGTTATATATTTGTTTGTAGTTTAATGTGCTTTTGATATAATCCGTGTCCAATTTTTCCTACCACTACAATGTGAACTGCAATTGCAGATCATTTGACTTATTTTGTTTGTTATTTTGGGTTTCAGAAAGTTTTCTGGAGAGGCGTCATTGAAGAACTCTTGTGGTTCATCAGTGGATCAACAAGTGCTAAGGTTTCTTTCTGTTCCTCACTGATTGTATAAATTGGGTTCTGTTTCCTTGCCAATAATGTTTTGTGCAATTTGTTATGGCATCTCGGAGATAGTTACCATTTTGTTTTAATGATTTCTGGCCCATTTAGCTTGCATAACTAAGATGTTTTTAGTTCAGGTCCTACAAGAGAAGGGCATTCATATTTGGGATGGCAATGCATCCAGAGATTATCTTGATAGGTAAGATTTTATCTCTTCTTGCTATCAAGTCTATTATAAATGTTGGACCATCGTAAGTTTGGCATTCCATTTCAGTATTGGCTTGAAGGATAGGGAAGAGGGTGATTTGGGACCAGTATATGGGTTTCAGTGGAGACATTTTGGTGCCAGGTCAGTCTTTGAAAACTTACTCATCATACAGTTGGTCAAAACTCTAGAGTTATGTGGTAACTTGTTCCATTGAACCTGCTATATACAGGTACATTGACATGCATACTGACTACAGTGGCCAGGGGTTTGACCAATTGGCTGATGTTATCAACAAAGTTAAAAACAATCCAGATGACCGACGCATTATTCTTTCAGCTTGGAATCCTTCTGATCTTAAACTGATGGCGCTTCCACCTTGTCATATGTTTGCTCAAGTTAGTGTTGTCTTGGTTTTGTTTATGGCAGAACTTATTGTTTGTGTACTAATCTTCTCTTTCATCTTGTGGTTGTAGTTTTATGTAGCCAATGGGGAGCTATCCTGTCAGATGTATCAGCGATCTGCCGATATGGGTTTGGGAGTGCCATTCAACATTGCATCTTATGCCTTGCTGACATGCATGATAGCTCATGTTTCTGGTATGCTGTCAGGATACCTCTAGCTAATTTCTCATGTGCATCATGTAATAACTAGCAAATTTCCTACCTGCTTAAAGACATGACTAGACAAGAATTCTGACTAAGCAAAACAGATACTGCAAAAACTCATTTACTTGGTGAGGCATTTGAAAATGGAACTTTACCCTTCTCATGAGACTCAATCCTTGTCCTTTATGAGACAATCCTATGCCTTAATACTTCTAGCTAAGTTTCTAAGTAGTACTGCTTGGTGAGATGGCCAATTACTTTGTATGTGTATTGTTAAAAACAGATCCAACTTGTAAAAGGATATGGAACTTTTGAACATTTGATTTGTAAATTTTCATGTATATTGATAATGGAGACGTATCTTTTGATGGTCATTCACTGGTCATTCTACATCCAGGTTCCAGCCCACTTCAGTTCCTTCTGTTTTACTATTCACCTCATGATGTTTGCTCTACTTCTCTTTACAGGTCTAGTTCCTGGTGATTTCATACATGTCGTAGGAGATGCTCATGTTTATCGCAATCATGTCAGACCTCTGCAAGACCAGCTTCAGAAGCTGCCTAGACCTTTCCCAGTAAGTAAAGGAATACTCTTTTTTTTTTTCCTGTTATAATCTCTATCTCTCCCTCTCTAACTGCAGTTGGTTCTGATTGGGTGTAGGTGCTGAAGATCAATCCGCAGAAGAAGGACATAGAATCCTTTGTTGCTGCTGACTTTGAGCTTACCGGCTATGATCCTCACCAAAGAATTGAAATGAAAATGGCAATATGAAGTTCCATGCAGTTAGTCCTGAATTCCTCTGCTCTTAGGATATGTGGCTCATATTTTGAGGCAAGTGAATGGAACTACCTATTTTCTCTTTCCTTCTTCCTTTGGTACTTACATGGCCTAATTTTCACTGTTCAGGGTCTAGATAAAAGAATCTGATTTTGATATTAAGTTTTTCTTTTTAAAAAAATAAAATTACGTGATAGATTTCCTTAAGGCATTGTCTGAGATCCATTGCTTGAAGTTCTCAGTGTAAGAGAGCAAGTATGATGCTCAAACTTCCCCATTTTCCTTCATCTGGTAACTGTTGCCTTTAAGAGGGGGGGCCTCTAGTTGATGTTGTGGAAGCTTTTGTCTATTACTGTTGCAACCATTGTCATCATGAAATCGTACATCAGTTGAACCATTTCTGAGGCATAAGGTTTCGCACTTGATTAGGGGGATAGTGTATTGTCAAGACTTCCTTTTTGTTAGTTGGAAATATGTTTGTCATGTAAGAAATTAATGTCCGGCAAATATAGAGAGCATGTGTACCTTTTTTTTTATTTGTATAATGGTATGTGACAAGCTTAAATGGTGGCTTGTTTGGGATTGAGTAGTAGTAGTAGTTGTTTCTGAATTCTGCAGGCTTGGGATCATGTACTCTTTCACCTTTTAGGGGTTCTGGAATTTGTCCATCTATAACTATACTTTCAACTTTAATTTATATTGTATTTTTTTCTTTTCTTATCGAAGTGGTTGATGCTTACTGTTTTCCTTGCTTAATGGAGAGCTGATATTAATGTTGTTTGTACAATTTTGCAGATTGGAGAACCGAGGATGTCTTGAGGAGTTATTTTATAATTTGAATCTTCATTAGTAGTATATTTGAGGAAAAAACATCTAAGTATTAGGATCTGCGAATCCTTTAGCTCCAAAACAATGGATGTGTGGTTGCTAAGGTGATTTAGAATGCTATGGCTTTCCTTTTGTGTTGAGACTTACCTTTTTGGCTTTCTATGACAATACCCTTTCTCTTATAAGATGTATTATTTATGTTTTCGCTCATTTATTTGCGTATTGTTTCATGGCTTTTGTTCAGCTTCATTTGTGTCTGAGCATATACATAACAGGGTGGGAGATTTGTGTATATTGCTTCTAAGATTAGTATATTTGTGAAGGTTGCTAGATGAACTATCTATGGAGTCATGGAATGGCAGTGCTTAAAGGTCTTTTTTTTATAATTTATGTTTTTTAACTGATAGTCCTGGAGGTGTCAAATGGCCAAGTTGATCAAAACTTGAGCTTGTCAAAACTTAAAAGTCTTCAAAGTTGCTTGTATCAATGGGGAAATATCATGTCATAATTTAACCCAACCAATGTGACCTAATATCTCTTTTTTTTTTTTTTTGGGAAGGTTAATGTATTTTTTAAAGTGAAATTAAGTTTTCTTCTCTTTACAGTAAAGCCTTACTGAATTATATTCGGTGAATCAATAGTTTCTGGTCTCGATTTGGGTCAATGAAAAAAATCATCTATTTCGATAAGATAATATGTTTTTGGTCTCGATTTGGGTCAATGAAAAAAATCATCTATTTCAATAAGATAATATATTTTCAGAATACCCTTATATGAATATATGGTGCCATTGATATTATAAATTAATATTTTTTTTAAAGTACAAATATATTTAAGACAATTTAGTGAAATACAATTTTATTATTTTTTGTTAAAATTTAAATATAATTAAAGTTCACCTCTAACTTTTTTTTATTGCTTCCAGAAGTTCTAGTGTTGTCACTGTAAATCTTTTTAAGTACATGTGGAATGATCGCTTTTTGTATTCACATAATACATTTATGTATTTGATCTGTCATTGTTGATTTTGTGACACCTTTTTAATGAGAAGTCATTATTGGATATGATTTCAAGAAATTTCCTATATTACTTATAATGAATGTTTTTAGTAAAGATACAATGAATAATATTTAATTATGAAACAATGAACATTATGCATATTTGAAGAAAATAAAATTCCTTAAAGTATTGATTTATATACAAATGAAAGACCCAATAATAGAGAAATTTATTAAGTTATAAAGAAGAGGTAGGAGGCTTTATTCAATAACCTTAAAATTCTTGTACCTCTCTACGTTGAAAGTATGAATAAGCCACCCCTATTAACCAAATTAAACTAGGATTAGCATTAGCTAACAAATTTTAATTAAACATAATTAAATAAATATCATAAATAACAAATCCTAAACTATTAAGGAATCCTACAATTAAATAACAAATCCTAAACTAATAAGGAACACTATTCTTAGTTTATTTCCTACAAAAATGAATTTATTTTTACAATGAATCATTAAATTCTTGAATTTATTTTACAATGAATCATTAAATTCTTGAATTTATTTTACAATGAATCATTAAATTCTTGAATTTATTTTACAATGAATTATTTAACAAAAAAAAAAATATTACAATAAATCATACACACATTGTACATATAATGACTTTTTTTTTATATGAATTTAATAAATATGATACCTAATATAGTAAGATACAATAATTTTGGATATTTATTTATTTTTAATGTGAATTCAATAAATATGATACATGAATTAGTAAGATACAATAAACTTTAATTAACCTTCATTAAATCTCAAAACACTAATTTAGTAATTAAATAATAGTTCTACAAAATAATAATAATATGTCATAATCCGACATATATTAATTTAGTCATTACTGTAACTAAACCAATAAAAACTTTTCACAAATAGACTAAAAAAGGAAACCACCCCCCAATTCTATAAGAATATGGCTTGAGGTAATTATTAATATTATAAAAACCAACTTCATTCTAACCAATTGATCAATTACAAAACAATGCCTATATTACCAACTCTACAAAACATTCGTGCTGCAGCTAAAGCATCAGCAACAGCTTCAAGTGCTTTGTTCAAAGAAGCTGGTACTGATGTTCTTGTTAGATGTTCACAATCACATGGCGGTGGTATTCGTCTCAGAACAAATTTGTGTAAATTCAATGAAAATCATATCGTAAATACTACTATTGGTTTTCCAATTATGGTTATCGTGTCTATAAAACGACATTCATCATGTTTGTCTTTTAAAGATTATATCTATGATCATAGAGCTATGCAAACCTTTTGGATTCCTTACGATCATATCGTTTCAGATGAGGATGCAACAAATATTATATCAAAACTAATATGTTTGATGAATGTAATTCCCATGTTGGATGAGCAATGTATAAGTTATAGTGATACTAAGACAAGTACTAGCATGATGTTGACAAATAAGGACATTTTGATTTCAAAGATTATGAATTTTGCTAGGGGTATGAAGGAATGTCCATCTAATGAAGATCATTGGTACATGACTTTGGGGATTACAAAGGTTACTTATTTGCCCCATGAGAATTTTATGAATTTGTATAATAAAATGGGACAAGATTATAATTGGAATGCATGGAAAAGGACTCAAGAGGTATTGGATTCAAGGATAGCGGCGTTTGAATTGTTGAAAAAAATTGGAATCAAGAAGATGAGATTTCGAGCTAGTGAATTTAAGGATTGTAATTTACTAGACACATGCTCGATTTGTCATGATGGATTCTTAGAAGGTTGTATGGTTTCTTGTATTAATAAGTGTTGTCATGTCTACCATGATACTTGCATTTTGGAATGGCTTTTAAGGAATCGATCTTGTCCTTATTGTCGATCCAAGTTAGCATAAAAATTGTTTAGTCTTAGGTTTATTTCTTGTCATTCATGTTTTTTTTAATGATATCTACTGTTGTTAGTATAGTGAATGCTGTTGATTTAATACTATCTTGTCGAAATTTATCATCAAAGGATGTGGTACAGTGGATGAGACTGTTTCTCTTTTAATAAAAGATTTTAAATATGACAACATCTTTGGTCTATGCGACACCAAATTTGAATAATAATTATTTGTATGACAACATCTTTGGTCTATGCGACACCAAATTTGAATTAGTTGAATAATAATTATTTGTGTAAGACATTCTCTTGTGCTACCAATTAAATTTTGTTCTAGTTTGCTAAATTTTTGGAAATATTACCCTAAAGAACTTATCTTGACAAATAACTGTGCCCTAATGTTTGAATAACATATAATATTATAGATCATAGTCTAATATTTTCTCATGATTTTTAATTTGTTCGAAATAGATCTTTAGACAGTGATTTAATAGTTTCTAATGTGCCATTACCATTATCAGTCCTTAGTTAATTATGCCGTAACTATTTCTAAGTGCAAGTCTTCTTCGAATATTTCCATTGGTCCAAACAAAGAAATATAATTTTCAATCATAATTTAAACTTTTTCAGAAAGTAATGGTTGATATAACAAGTGTAATTTAACTTCTTTTTTTTCCCAGAAATTTATGGCTATTATAACATTTACTTTAATGTCTTTAGACGTATAAAGCATAATTTAGACGTTGATTCTAATTATTGAAACTGATTTAATTAAACAAAATTATATTGTTGCTATTGTTCTCTTCTCCATTGTTTTCAATATAGATCACTAATGTATGTTTTACGTACTTGATATTACTTGAGTTGGTAGTCTATCGAAAACAGTTTCTCTCCCTTGTCAAAGTAAGGGTAGGACTGACAATGCATACACATCGTCCTTCTAGATTCGATTTACGAGATTACAATAAATATGTTATTGTTGATTAATCAAACAAAAATTAACTAAATTGAAACTTTTTTACCAACCAATTAATAATCTCTATATAGACATGACTCTTGGAGTCTTGTTTCAACTACAAACATGTTTTTCACATCCTCCCCATGAGACATTATAAAAAAATCAAAGTGAAAAATAGTGGGTTGGTGTAAAAAGAAAAAGAAAAGACATAGACCATAGTACTTGTGGAGTTCATTTAAATAATTCAAAAGTTGCAAGATTTTTAGGACGAACACCACCAGAGATAGTGGGATTCTTTTAAAAGGTTACTTAATTTATTTAACACCCAAAAAGATTTGAGAGAGATAGAAGTATAGAACAATAGACAAGTGTAACAAATAAAAAGCTAAAATCTTGCTTTTCAAAAAATAGGAAAATATATTTCTTATTAGAAAACTTAGTAATGAAAGGAAATATATGGTATTAAGTTAGGTGCAGAAGTAAAAATCTTTTTCCTATAAATAATCATGGTAATCAGACTAGCTTGAACGTATGCCAAAATAGATATTAGATAAAATTACTTTCACCAAAAGTCGAACAGATGAAGAAAAAGTTGAGTGATATTTTTTTCCCTTCTCTCTATTAAGATTTAAATTCCTATGATTTTTATCTGCTTCATTGACCGGTAAGCAATTAATGCAGCAAGTAAAGAATAAAATATTGTTTTGTGGAAAATTAAAAGTTAAAAATTAAAAGAAGTGATATGAAAAGATTGAAGTAATTCTCTGGAAGGATGAGTTCCATACAAGTGTGGTCTCACCAAGTCAATTTTTAAATCTACTTTTGCAATTTTCTTTATGCCTTTTTAAAAATCTAGAATTAGTGAAAATTATCAAAAGCATCTGATTTTTAGAACAGAAAATCTAGAATACTTCCACCACTGTCCACAAAATATTCTTTTTGGTTATTTTTTCCAGAAAAAATAATAGAGTATCAGTGATGGGTATATAAGCATCATGCTTTTTCATAGTTCAAATAGTTTGTATGTTTTTTTGTTTTTTTAAATTTTCCACTTAATGTTCGGTAAAATATATATTCTATATTGAAAATTCAATTTAGTTTTTTTTTTTTTTTAAAGAGTGACGGAATTATATTTATCGCATTACAGATTCTTTGGTGGTCCAAATAGATCAAATGTGAATACATGAAAATGACTGAACATTCTCCATTTGGCATATTTCTACATGTTTATATTTTCAACTATATTCTTGGAATTAATTTAGGAAATCCATATGACACTTTATTAGATTAGATTCTCTTGCCTTAGATCTTTGTTCATATTTATTTTCAATAAGTGGACAAGGTTAATATTGAAAATAAAAACTCAGTCTTCTAA